CACGCGGGTAACCCGCCCAGAACAGGCTCCTCCACACACGGGAAGGGGGCTCATGGGCCCCAGGGCCAGGGGGAGATGGCTGGTGGGGACGGGGTTTCCTTCTAAGGTGACGGAAGGTTCTACAATCTGGTGTATCTGCAGCATGGGAATCGCATCTCAATAAAGATGTTACCAGAAAAACAAGAAGAAGAAGATACTGAACATCCCTGCTCAGGGTCTCTGCGCATCGCTGCCTCTGGCCCAGCCCCCGGGGTCCCGGCCTGGAGCCTGTCCCGGGAGCAGCAGGCCCCTGACTTTAGTGGCCTCCATGAAGAGCCTTCCGAGTGCAGCCCGCTTCATCAGCGGGGAAGCCATGGCCCGTGCATGGCCACGTGGCCCATGGAGAACAGGAGTGGGGTCAGAGTCACACAGGTCCACAGTCCCCCTCTTCCCTGCCCCACCGTCCTGCAGGGAGGGGTCTGCCGAGCAAGGGCATGGCATCTTCCCCGGGGTGTCAGGTCTGAGGCTGGGGCCCCAGTGGCTGGTGATTTCACGGAGATGGAACACGAGGGGCCAGAGCACAGGCATGGGAGGGCTGACCCTAGAGCTGCAGGGAAGGATTCAAGCCCACTGGCCTCTACTGTACACCGGGGCCCCCCGAGTGCCCCTGCCAGAGACTCTAGAACACAGGTCACCCCCTGTGCCCGCTGGAGGGGCCCTGAATCTGGGGCACAGACCTGGCCCCCACGGCCACATGGGCCTGTCCCATGACTCCCCACCTCCTTCCTTCATGTCCTCCTCACACACTTTGCTGCTCCTTCCCGTCCCAGGGCTTTTGCACATGCTTCATCTGTGCCCCGATCACTGGTCCTGGAGTTCAAACCCCAGCTTCCCCACTGCTTATGTGACTGGCAGCTTGTTTAACATCTCTGGGCCTCCGTTTCTGCATGAAGAATGGCCTAATGCTAGTGTTGACCTCCGGGACCAACCCACCCAGAGAGGGGAACGTAGGGGGCTTGTCTGGTGGCCCCCGGCCATGGGCTGATGCCCTGCGGCCAGGCCCTCCCCGCTGGTGCTCGGGCACCTTGCAGGGAGTGAGGCGGCTGGGCCAGAACCAGGCCTTGTGGCTCTTCTCTATGTCTGGCACCTGCAGGTCCAGCTCCCGAAGCCCCCAGCTGGCCACGCTGCGCCACGCCAGCACCGCCACTGGAGCCAGCCGGGGGGCCAGCTGCTGGAGACGGGAAGGGGGAGGGGAGGGGAGCAGTGCAGGATGGGGGCCTGGGGTGCAAGCCAGGACCCCTCCCGGCGGCCCTCAGCACCGTGAGCGCACGGAGGCAGCTCCCCAGATGAGGGGCCGGCTTCCGTGCGGGACTCCGGGCTGCCGCCCTGATGTGGGAGGGAAGGCTGGGGTGTTGGCGCGCAGGAATCCCCATGAGCAGCCTCAGCAGCAGGGTCAGCGTGTGGGCGGCGGTCCCTCCCCCAGCTCCTGTCTGGCCAGGCTCCGCCCCTCCTGTCACTGCCCTAGACTCCAGAACGCGCGTCTAGAAGTGTCAAGCGCTGGCTGGAGCCCCTGCCATCCAGGGACTAGGTCAGAGGTGGCGTGGGACCCCGGCCGCTGTCCTTCCACCACGGGAGAGTCTCTTATCACGTGGCTTGGGGGCAAGACAGCAGGGCCGGGAAGGCAGGCTGGGGGAGGGGACCTCACCGGAGCACCTGGAGCAAGCTGTGCCGGAAAGACTCCGGCTGGCCAGCCCTAGGGCAGGTTTATTCTCAAAGGCCAGGTTCCCGCTGGGGACGCCTGTGCCACCCCCATGGGCCAGCTCTAGGACCGGGGCCAGGTGTCCTGAGAGACCCGGCCCTGTGCAGTGGCAGCGCACTTTGTCGTAGCCCGCAGTCCTTCCCCAGGGATCCCTGCAGCCTTGCACAACCCCACGGCCCCTGCGGGTGACAGAGGGGCTGGAGCAGGGCGGGCTCGCTCCGTGGACACCCACGGTAGGTGTACAAGGCCTGCACCCCGGCCTCGCACAGGTGCAGGGGCCACGTGTGGGCAAGAAGCAGGGGGCAAACTTACGACCCTGCGACGTGACTCTCAAGCTGTCACCTCCTGGGGAGAGACTGGGTTAGGGCTGCCCCCCCACCGCCCCGCCCGCCATGACCTTCCTGCCCCGAACCCTGCCATGACGAACCCTGCCATGACGACGTCGGTTGTCCCCTCCCCCGACCCCACCTCCTGAGAGGTTCAGGCTGATGGGCGGGGACAGTTCCCCCTCACAACCCTGCACCCTGGCTCCCACTCCCCTGTGCACAGGCCCCCAGGGCTGGCAGAGGGGATGTGGGGTCCCCATGGTGCTCAGGCGGTCTGATCTCCACGGAGTTCTTCCAAAGCAGCTCTCACTCTGCTGGACACGGAGCGATTAAGGTGTCCGCCTGGATGGTCCCAAGGGGAGAGGAGTCCCCTGAAAAGGAGGGCCGCTCAAAGGCGGCGGAGGCATGCGGCTGTCGGCTGTCCCGGCTCAGGGCACATTCAGCGTCTGGGACCACACAAGCTGACTCTTCCCCAGTCCTGGAGGCCGGCGCGTGGAAACGGGCCTCCCACGGCCAGTCAAGCTGTGGGCAGGGCTGGCTCCCCCGGAGGCTCCAGGACAGGACCCACGTCCTTGCCTTTCCTGATTTTCAGAGACACAGATTCCGATTCTGGGAGTAGGATACAGACAGCTCTGGAGCTGTCACTCTGCTGCTGACCCTGGGGGAGATGGTCTGGGCAGAACCTGGGCCTGGATCCCACTGTGCCTGAAACCCGTGGCCTTTCACTCCCAGAAGCTAAAGAAGTTCCTTCTGGCTCGAGTCAGTTTGAGTTGGGCATTTTGCCCTTCGCCGAAGCAGTCACTATAAAGGACAGCTGGTCACAGGAGACCGCAGTACTCTCCCGTGTGCAGGGACTCTGGAGACAAGTCACCAGCCATCTTTTCATTTGGTGGCACTGGCAAGTGAGGCCAGGTGGCCTGTCTTCACGCAGGAGGGTGTGTCAGGCCAGGGACGAGTTCAAGAGAAACTGTATTTACAGAGTGTTCACACGTCCTGTCCAGTGTGACCGTAGCCGCCCCAGGACGAGTGGCCTGGCCGGCATCGAAACAGATGGCGCTTGGAATCTCAGACCAAGGACGAAACATCGTCTTATACAGAGAATGTGTCCCAAGTACCACACAGGACACACACACGCTCTATTTTCCAGAGCGTAAAAAGGATTTCTCTTAAGTTTCTACGTAACCGGGCTCCCTGTCTCTGTCTTGCAGCTTCCAACGCTCAGATCTGACACTGACGCCACGAGTCCACGACAGGCTACAACATTTGGACTGAGGCCTCAGGTGCCACGGTCAGACCTGGGGGTGCAAAAGCTTCCGTGGCAGCTCTGTGGGGGAGGATCCGAGGGGCAACGACTCCCAAGAGGTGGGTCCGGGTCCCCTCCTCTTGGGTCTGGCAGGGCTCACCCACGTCTGCGTCCAAGTCTGTGCGGAAGTGATGCGTGTGGCCTCCGCGTGGGTGGACATGGCCTTGCTCGCGGCCCCTCTCCCTGGAGCCGGAGCTGCTGTGAGGAAGCCCCAGCGCTAGGGGAGGCCACTGAGGACGCCTGCGGGCCCCCCAGACAGGGCGGGGCGGGGCAGGCCTCCCCAGTGCCCATCCCCTTCCTGACCGGCTCCTAGCGCGGGGTGCCAGCCACACGGGGGTTCACGGGAAGCCCGACCCCAGCCCAGGGTCCTCCTCCTGGCAGGAGGAAGTAGAGGGCGGGTGTGGGTCTCCTGGCCTCCAAGCCACTGGATGCTGAGGGGGCCACACACCTGGCCCCCATTCAGGAGTCTGGACCCCAGGGCGCCCCGAGGCCTAAATTAGGAGCTGGGGGAGGGGAACGGGTGTAGCTGTCACAGGCCACACTACTCCTGTCAGCTGAGAACACCAGCTGCGAGTCCCATCCAGAGGGGCCCTTCCCAGCCGGCACTGCCAGCTCTCTGGGCTTAAGAGAAGCCAGAAACCAAAACAAGTGGGTGAACCCTTCCAAGTCAGGAAGCCACCAGACCGCAGGGTCTCACGGAGAGTAGCACCCACAGGCCCGAGGCACACTAGTGGGGCAGGGGAGAGGCCCTGGCGAGCGGGCTGCGGTGCGGGTCTGACTGGGCTCGCCCCAGACAGCCTGGCTCCTTCTGCCCAGCTCCCTCCTGTGTGGGGTCAGCCAGGCCCAGCCACGGTGCCGTCAGGCCGGGCACGTGCCCGTCTGACCCATGGGGGACCTTGTCCCGACTATGCCATCTGATCCTGAACCTGGGCCACTCTGGACATGTCAGTTACACGGAATGAAGCCAAGGTCCTGGGTGACAGTGGCACGACGCAGGTCCCGTCGGGGCTGCCGGGGGGCCCATGGGCTGGCGGGGAGGCAGCTTACTGCCCCAAGGCCCCATGGGGTGGGTGCGGGCCAGCAGCAAGTGCTGTGCCCCAGGCCGCCAGGGTGTCAGTGAACATGCAGCCACCTCCTGCCCAGACCCCACATCCCCGCGGTGCCCCCAGCGTGTGTCCAGGTGCTTGCAGGCCCCTACCCCTGCGCCTGGCACGAAGGGTCACAGGCACGTGGGCCTGTCAGGATCCAGGGGCCTGGTGACAGACCGTTCTCTGCAGTCCTTTGCGGAGACCAAGGAGAGGTTGGTTCTCTAGCTTCTCATAAAGTCGTTTTATTCAGATTCCAAACAAACCAAAGCAGAGAAGAGGCGACCACAGGTGAACCCGTCCACGCACAAGCTGGGAGCCCACGGCTCTGGCCCCGGCCAGCAGGAGCCGTGGACGGGTGGGGGGTCCAGGTTCCTCAGGCCCCCGCCACCCAGGCTGTCCCAACCTGGCAGGCGGCCCTCCCCTGGGAAGCAGAGGACCCAGGACACACGTGGGAGACGAGGGCGACCCCCGAGAGCAGACCACCCAAGGGGCCAGGCAGCACCCCTCCCGCGAGGCAGTCTCGGCGCCACACAGTCCGGGCCTGCTGAGGTAAAATCTGTAAGTTTATTCTCGGGGTCGTGGTGTCAGGACTCCTCGTTGCCAGAGTCGTCCTCGTCGTCCCCGAAGCAGCTGTCAGCCTCGGCCTCGGGCTCCCCGTCCTCGTAGTAGTCGTCATAGAAGAGGTCCGAGCCCTCATCGGGCGCCGGGGCCTTGGTCTTCACACAGTACTCGGCCAGCGTGGTGGGCACCTTCACGCCATCCCGCTCCGCGTCCACCTTGGTCCCCAGGACCTGCTTCCTGGGGGAGAGATGGTCCTGTGGGCTACGGCTCTGTGCCTGTCGGGGTCCTTCAACAGGAGCCCAGCCCTCAGGAGCTCGGATGCCGCAGAGAAGGGCCAGACAGGGCAGGGCCCACGGCACACAGGACCCTGGCCACCAGAGATGAGCGGCTCCGTGCGACGGTCAGCACCCATGGGAGGCGTGCGGCCACGCTGGCCGGGACAGCATAGGTGCACCAGCGGGGACGGTGGGTCAGGACTGCAACTGAACTTCCCATCCTGCGTTCAGTGCCTGGGCCACCGTGGCGCCCACCACACACAGAGGGCCGGACGGACAGGCAGACAGAGGCGTGGGGGCAGACAGGGAGGGCCAACGCTAGGAAGAAAACGGGGCTCGCACTCAGCCCAGCGCACTGGCTCCCCGGGCATAGCGCAGCTCCCGAGGTGGGGGACTCCCACCTAGAGCCCGACGTAGGGGCACAAACCGCCCCGAGAATGGACACTCTGCAGGGCCAAGGACAACACATCCTGTCATCGCACCCGCTGGCAGAGCGCTTGGGGAACATGGCTTGGTGGGGGCGGGTGGGGGGCAGCAGCTCACATCCCAGCCTCCCTCACGTGGGCACACGTGAGCGGCCTGCAGAGCCGCAAGGGATAAAAACAGTCTGCTCTTAATTCTGGTGCCCCGTGGGCGGTGCCTGGGAAAAGAACTGGGGCGAGGCAGCGTGGGCAGGACCCTCAGGAGTCCAGCCACACAGGGAGGGTCCCCCCCAGCAGGAGCCTGACTGGCACTCCCGGGAGCCACCACCAGCCCGGCTACTCCTCATCGGCACAGCCCCAGAGCTGGGACCGCCTGGCCTTGGGGGAGAGCTTTCCTGGGACAACGGGGGTACAAGGAACCGTGGGAAGGGGCCGCTCTGTGGGCACGGGGTCACCGTAGGGCCAGGTGTGTGCGTGTGCGTGCTGCTAGGGGAAAAGGCACTCGGATCCCACGAGCAACCCTGCACCCATCGTTCAGATGCTGCTCACAGAAACCACCACAGACCCAGCAAAAACAGGCCAGAGCCACCGAAGGAGGACGTGGTTTCACTCTGAGAAAAGAGAAGCAAAATCAGCAGAAAGCGGAGCAGACACGAGGCTCCTGGCGACGCTCTCCCCCATCCAGGTGTACCTGGTGCACAGGGACCCAGGGGTCTGCAGACGACAGGGAGATGGACTAGCAGGGGTGGGGGGTGGGGACGATGGCAGATGGACAGCGTGTGCACGCGTATGTGTGCGGGAGGCTGGCCCGTGCAGACGGGCCTCCAAGGTCAGGCAGAGCAGCAGCTGCGGAAGGTGGCCGGGAGGGTGGGGGTGGGGTGGGGTGCTGGTCTCAGGGCAGTGGCACGTGCGGGTGTCTGCAAGGCCCCACCTAAATGGTAACTATTCGGTGACCTGCTAAGATCACGGGCCTTCGTTTTTGTTTCTCTGTCACGAAGGCGTCACCTCCTCACCCGCGTGAGCTCCCGTAGCTTTATCCACACAGAACTGTGCCAATTTCAAGGGCACAGCGGTGAGTTCTGACACACAGATGTCCCGTGGCATCGCCCCCTCATCCCCGGGGGGCCCGCTGTGCCTCTGAGGTCCTGCTTCCACGACAGCCAGGCATGCCCCCGACCCAGGGACGACCCTGTGGGTACACGCCAGGACTGCGGCCAGAACGTTCCTGTGGGTGCTGCTGGGGACGCCGCCCCCGCTCCTCTGCAGTAAACACTCAGACCTTGACCGGGGTCGTAACGCAGCTTTGCGCAAACCTTACTCCTCTTTCTAGGTAAAAAGTACACGAGTTTTTGGAAAAACCGAACAAAGGGTTAAGTTTGTCCCCCACTGGTCCGTAAAGCGCATTACAAAGTGACAATGGACAATGGACACAGAGCAGCTGACAGGCCAGGGAAAAGGAGGTCAAGCAGCTCTGGTGCCCGAGCCCTGACCCGCGTCCAGCCCTGGCCCGCCCAGTCCGGAACAGCATTCCTTCTGCAGGGGCTTCTCTGCAGGGACGGTCACTTGCTCACCACGGGAGACCACCAACACGAGAGCTGGAGGCTTAGTCCTGCCCGATCCCTACACAGCACGCTGCTCGTAAAACCAGGAAAAACATGTACTTTCCAAAAAAAGAAAGTGATTTTCTAAACACGCTAATACCATCATCTTTTTCTGCCTTTACAAAATAATTCGAAGTTTCAAAATTACGAATGCGAATGACGTTCACCGCAGGAAATCAGGAGGAAAAGATACAACGTGACGTGGGAAAAACACGTCCCACCTGCCCCCAAAAGAAAAAGCACAAAAGCAAAGTTGAGGGCAAGAGTGGGTCTGGGAAGGACTCGACCAGCAAACCAGCCCCATCTGGGGGACACTTGGCATGGGGCAAGCAGGGGGCTGGACCGCCCAGGACGGACGGGAGTGGTACGACCCGGTTCGAGCTTAGGGGTGGGCCATCAGGCCCGACCACAGGCGCTCCCGGGGCCCAGACTCCGCAGCACAGGGCTCAGGCGCCACGAGCTACACACGCAGCAGACACGCGGACCACGTGCTCATAGGACTAGAGCCTCCCACGTGACACAGACAGAGAACGTCCGTTTTCATAAAAAGAGTGGGGTGGGGGCACAATGAACAGAGGAAAAGGGAAGAGCCAGTGCGCTGGCCTGAGCCTGGCGGGCTACCCAGAGACCCAGCGACGGGGTCTCCCTCCCAGGACCACTGCCTACGGGCAAACCGCAGGCGTGCCGGCCTCACCTGATGATGTCCGTGTACTCCCGGTCCTTGCCTTTGCTCTCTTTCCACTTCCTGTACATCACAGAGGCGTCCACGTTGGCCGGTGAGAAGGTGTTGGGTTCGTTGAGGAGCGAGATGACACTCAGCAGGATGGTCCTGGGTGTGTGTGTGGGGTGGCGTCAGCCGGGGCGGCGCGCTCTCTGGCCACACCACCCCCAGGAGCCAGGCCTAGCGCCACAGTATTCGTGGACACACCCAGGGGCCAGCACCCGCCCGGGGAACCCCTCAACTCCCAACCCTGTGAGTGACACCGCTGCCGCTGGTTTCTGTCTCAGGCCCCTGGGAGAGTAAGGGCTGACTCCTAGCCCTGCCCCGCACGCCGGCCCAGCCTGGGGAAAGGACACGTGTGGGCAGCTAGGACCACCTTCATTCCACATGGCCCCGTTCCCAAGGCATCCTGCAGGCAAATGGGTCCCTCCATGCCACCAGTTTTCATTATGGCTTGGGCTGAACTAAAGACATGCAGGCCAGGAGGCAGGGTGACCGGCCTCTGTGGAGGGACTGAGGAAGGAGGACAGGTGGGGGAACTGTGGGAGAGAAAACATGGACCTGAGATTCCCAGTGGCTGTTCCCAATGGTGGGTGGGGCACGGAGCGTCAGGAAATGAGGGGAGAGGGTCTTTGGGGCCCCCAGCATCCTGGCGGGAGGACAGTTTGGACGGACTACGCAGTACCGCAGGGAGTCACGGCCTTGAGAGCAACAGACACACATCCTCCCACATCTGCGTCCCCAGGCGTGGCCAGCTTCGAGCAAGCCCCACAGGAGCCGAGTCGGGAGAGCTGCTGGGGGCAGGGGTCCCTGTGCCGCGCAGCCCCTCCAACAGGGCCTGTCCAGCCTCACCTGACATTCTGGGTGGGGTTCCACCGCTCTGAGGGCAACTCCCCACTCTGGGGGTCATCAACGGGGGGGTGGAGGATGGAGATGCACACGTCCCCTGTCTGTGTGGGACAGTAAAGGGGGTCAGTGCCCACACCACAGCCCTCTCCCATCAGGCAGTGCAGCACCCCCCCCAATATGGAGACGCTGGGGCCGGGGTGTGTCGGGCGGACTCACCTCGTAGATGTTGGGGTGCCACATCTTGGTCAGGAACCGGAAGGCCGGTGGGGAATACGGATAGTCGATGGGGAACTTGAGGCGTGCCTGGGGAGAGGCAGAGAGCAGGAGGCTCAGCCGGTGCCGGCTGCCGTTGGGACTGTGCCCCCGGACACGCAAACAAGGACATCAGCCAGGACAGACACCCCCACCACGAGAGGGCGGCCTGGACCCTGCCTGCCACACAAAGGCCTCCTAGGACTATTCGGGGTCACCTGGGCTGATCCAGGCCTCCGCCCCGCTGCTGAGGAGCAACTCTAAGGGGCAAGTTGAGGGCAAGCCCTGTGCAGGGACCGGGAGCCAGGCCCCGGGGAGCGTGGCGGGCTCAGGTCAGCACACAGGTTGGTGGGGCCCTGGGGGCTCTGCACCCCCAGCATGACGGCGGACTCCCAGCATCAGTTTCCAGGTTGTGGGGAAAATGAAAATAGACGCGTGTTCACTGAGCGGTCACTCCCAACACCTCTGCGGTCTGGGCCCTGTGGGAGGAGAAGAGTCGGTGCTGGACGGACGGTGCTGGACAGACAGTTCTCCCGTAAGCGCCATCGCGGGGGGCCAGGAAAGCAGACAGGAAGGTCATGGGGGCAGACCGGGGAGGGCCTCCTGCCCAGGTGACAGACCTGCTCAGGCCTCAGCAGGTAAAAAAGCTTCGTTTGCTTGTGTAAGCCCCAGTCCTGGACATCACGATGCCCGGCCCAAGATCCTGGCGGTGCTCCAGGCACTTAGGGGCGAGCCTGTGTGCTGGGAGCCAAAGCTGGGCGCCTCTGCTACAGCTGCCCCAGGCCCATCTTTGGGAAGTCACTCTCTGGGGCAGGGGGCACTTGGGGCATTTAGGGGAAGCCCTTCTCTTCTGGGGTGACCATGCTGAACTGAGGTCCAGGAGGGAGGGAACTTGCTGATGATTACAGGGCAAACCTAGAACTTGGAACCTGCCCTACAGGTTTCTAGGTGAGGGCCCTGAGAACAGGTGCGGCCTCGAGGCCCCCCCGCACCAAACACCCACCAAGTCCCACCGCATCCTGTTTCAAGCGTCCCCAGGGAGGACTTCGCTCCCGAGCAAACGGGGCCCAGAGAAGGGAAGTACCATGCCCAAAGACACACAGCGAGTTCACGGAGGAGGGCGCTGACCTGCTTCCCTCTGGCACCCCCTTCTGTCCACCACACTGCCCGAGGCCCACTGTGGCTTACAAAGCCAGGCTGACGAGGAAGATGCGGCAGAAACTGGCTGGGAAGTGATGGTGGCCCTTGGGTACTTCCCAGCCCTGCATTTCCTCACCTCTTCTCCCCACCCAGTCCCACCCAGACAAGAGGACACAGTGGGTGACAGCCCCCACCCCCACCCGCGCCGCCAGGCCACGCTGGCTTCGTGGAGGACAGGACCTACGGCCCGTGTGTCTGGAATCTGGCAGTCCCTTCTTCTCTAGGCACATGGGGTGAACCCCCCTCCCCAGTGCCAGCCTGGAGGATCTACCCACAGTCCCCGGCAACCAGATAGTGGGCAAAAGTCAGAAACCCACACCCTCTCCTTCCAGATCCGCCACCTCACTTAGCCTCCGGCCTGCCTGGTTTCAGGGTGCGAGTCCACCATCCCGTGGTGTGTGAGCGGAGACCTTCTCCTTACAGCCTCAAGCAGAGCAGAGAGGCTGGGAGAGGACCTAGTCAAACTGCTGGGGGGGTCCACCCCAAACCCAGTGCGTCAGAGCGGGCCGGTGCCTGATGTGGAGCCCAGCCCAGGGCTGTCCACACTCACCCCCTGATCCCACCCCAGCACCAGGGGAACCTCAATTCAGGAATCAGCCCCCGCTGACCAGGCTGCTCCCTTGTGGCCACTGAGCCGGCTCAACTAAAGGAGCAGAGAGCTGTCCTGGGAGCACCACCCTCGGGGCTGTGCAGCCTCTTGGCAGGCAGAGGTGGGGTGGGGTGGGGTGGGGTGGGGGTTGTTCCAGGCTGAGGGCTCACTCCCCAGCTCTCATGAAGGGAGACCCCCTGCCCTGTGCCTCTGGCTCCAAAAGCAAAGCCCTGCAACCTGAGAGAGTCCTTCCAAGGCCGCGTCTGGGCTCCGGTGGTGAGGTCAAGAGAGCTGCCGGAGTCCTGGCCTGAGTCCTTTGTCACACTCGTCGGAAACCCAGCCAGGCCCAGGGACGGCAACCCCCCCCCCCCCCCCTCGACTCCCAGCAACGACAAAGGAGAACTGCTCTGGAGAGTGGGATCTGGGCCCCTAGTGGCCACCTGCTCTACGGTGGAACCCAGAAAAGCAGGCCGGGGAGAGAGAGGGGCCCAGGGTCCACCAGGGCGCAGGCGGCGGTGTGGCTCCCGGGGACAAAGTGGGCGGTGGCAGTGACAAGTGCAGCCCCAGGGCCTGCCCGAGAGAGCGGGTTACATAAAGCTCGGGATGGAGCCAAGAGGGCCTGACCCGCTGCTATCGGGTAGGGTGGCGGCTTTCCAAGCAGGCCCCAGCTGGCAAGGCCCCATCCGGGCCTTTGTCGGCGCCCCGGCAAGTGGCGGCGCAGGGCCCCCAGGCTGGCCTCCCTCCCGCTCTCCCCCAACCCCGTGGTCCCCAACAATAGGGCTCGCGGGGCCTGGGGAGACTCTTTGTCTCCTCGGGGCAGGGGGCGGGGAAGGCAGCTGAGGGCCCGGGTCTGCCAGGGGCTGAGGCCAGCAAAGAGCCCCACACCCGAACCGGCCGGCGGCGTCCCCGGGGCTCCCCTCGGGGCTCCCGGAGCCAGGCTGGGGAAGCGGGGGCTGCAGCTGCTTGCCAGGGGCCGCACGGACAGAGAGGGACCCGACGGGAACCGGGGCCGCGAGCCGCGGGCTCACCTTGAAGTAGCCACCCTCGTAGTAGGTGTTGGGGGGCCCGAAGATGGCCACCTCCCAGTTGTACAGGTCACCCTCGTCCACTAGGGTCACCCGGAAGCCCTCCACCGGCTCCTCCTGCAGCCCCTTGAGCTCGAGCAGCAGCGCCTTCTGCGAGCTGGGCACCAGCGGTCGGGCCATGGCGGCGGCGGCGGCGGGGCCCGGGGTCGGGGGCGCGCTGGGCCGCGGGGCCGCCGCGGGGGTGCGGGACGGGCCGGGCCGCGCGCCGGCCGGGTTTTTTTTTTCGCCGCCGGTCCGTGCGGGTGTGGGGCTCTTTGCTGGCCTCAGCCCCTGGCAGACCCGGGCC